GGGTGCGCCCCATCAGCCAATTTTTTTACCCATCCAACTGTGTAGGCATCAATGCCAGAGTCACTTAATTTATTGATGAGGATGGGGTGAGAGAGAGTATCAAAGAAAGGCCTTCTTAAAGTCTAGAAAGACTACGTCCACGGTGACACCATCATCCAAGGATTTAGTTACTTGGTCATAAAAGGCAATCAGGTTGGTCAGGCCTTTGATGAACCCATGCTGATTGCCCCTGAGCATGATCTCCCCTGCAGGCCTGCCACAGAGGTGCTCCTTGATGATTCTCTCCAAATGAGTTGTGATGAACAGGGATCCGGGTTTTCCATTTCTCATAGGAAAATGGAAAAAACCCACAGATTTCCCCTTTTACCTAAGGAAAATGCGGATTTTTCATTTTAACGGAGAAACACATGGATTGTGCACTTCTGCAAAGAGCTCTCTGGAGGCTGGCAGAGCTTCAGCCTGCAAGGGGCTGGGGGAGCAGGAGGAGGGTGGTCAGGCAGGGGGCGCCATGTGAATGTAAATGCACATAGCTGCCAGGCAGCCTGGACAGCAGGGTTCGAAATACAAGTGGAGTTCAGGGGTGTTGAGCCCTGCCATAAGAAATGAGAGCCCCCCATAAGAGACAAAAGTCGCCCACATAAGAAATGAGAGGCCCCAGCCCACCCCATGCCTTTCTAAGCAACTCGAGTGATGGTGGCAGCTCCTTCCAGCTTCTGGCTGCCACTGATGCAGACCCCTCTAAGAGTGGGAGCGTAAAACGAACCAGCAAGAGGGACCTAGCGCAGCAGGGCAGAGCGGGGCCAGGCGGGGAAGCTCCTTGCTGCTGCAAGCTCTGCACCGCCCTGGCAAGGTGTCCCTTGCCTGCCTGGCAGCAGCAGGGACAGCAGCGCAAGGCTGTGCCCCTTACTGCTGCGGGGTGGGCAGGGGATGCGTTGCCAGGGCAGTGCAGAGCTCGCAGCAGCAAGGAGCTTCCCCACCTGGCCCCATGCTGCTCTGCCATGCTGGGTCCTACCCACTGGGCTGTGGAGGCCCCAGAGGAGGGCAGCAGGGTGGGGAGCCCAAGCCTGCAGCAGGCAGCCCACACCTGTCCCTGCCCCGTGCGCAGATCTGGGGGGCATGGGTCCCCCCTGCCCCTGGGAGTGTGCGCAGCGGCAGGGAGCCAGCCCTATCCCCCTGCCAGAATCCCCCCCCCCCCCATGGGCTCTGCTCTGGCCATGCTGCCCGTGGAGGTGGGGGGGGAGGTGGGCTCCATGTTTTGCTCTGCTGCAGCAGCTGCCACCTCCTGCAGGCAGCAGCAAGGGCTCAGTCGCTGCTGCAGGGGGAAGGGAGCTGTGGATGGGGGAGCAGGAGCTGTGGGTGGGGGGTGAAGGGCACCAGCAGGGTTGGGGGGGGAGGGAGGGGGAGTGAGAGGCACCAGAAGCGCTGGGGACTGTGGGGGGGAGTGAGGGGCACCAGCAGGGCCAGAGGGTTGTTGAGGGAGAGTGAAGGACATTAGCAAGGCTGGGAGGCTGTGGGTGGGGAGTGAGGGGCCTGGACCTGCATTCTGTGATTGAAGGGGGCAGGGGGCACAGCTCTAATTTTTCTATGATAAAAATCCCCAAATCAAATACCAAAATATATGGGTATTTAGAATTTATTTTATTATTGTGATTGAGGCACTGGTAGGCTTCCAATTTGCTTTAAAATTGTAAATATATCAACATTGTGTTCAACTGATACCTATATATAGTGGTGTTTCACTTTAATTATGGATTGGGGGGGAGGTCAGAGAATTTGTGATTTTTTTTATCAGAGAACTTGTGATTTTTTTATTTTTTTTTTTATCAGGGAAAACTGGGATTCTTGGTGATGAACAGAACCAAATCTGGGTGGGCTGACCATCTTGATTCATCTGAATTGAACAGATAAATTATTCTACAAAAATGTTAGGTCACAGCAAAACTAAACAGCATCTGTATTGTTGAGCAGTCTTGCTTCCACCTGATATTCTCCCTCTGTCACCAGTTTATTCTTTTCACAACACATCAACACTCAGCTACATAAGTCCCCTGTATCAAATTCTACAGGCATGCTGACTCAACAACCAGATTCACAAAAGCAGCACTCTGGAAAAGCCCAGCACACAGAGACAAAGCAACTTCACATCTAATTGATGCCAAAAATGCTAGAATAACTTCTCTCCTGTTTACAGTGCATTTGTCTTTGTAGCCAGTTTTCTAAGTTGTAAATGTAATTCTATTTTGCATGAATTTAACAGTGAGTGTATATGGTTGAGTGTATGTCACCCCTTGCATTCAAAGGGATTATATAGGGTAAGCAAAGCCAAAATGTTAGCTTTGGGTTTTAAGACAGGGAGGGGATCTCATTTTTTCTTGCATTCAGGGATCAAGCAACACAATATAAGAAATGAAAGATGAAGTATAGACATCTAAGCCCAAGAGAGGGCTTAGAACCATGGGGCTGGAAGAGATCTCAAGAGTGATCTAGTTCAATCCCTTGCACCTACAAGGGTTTTGCTCTTCTTAAAGCATGCCTATCTGGCCTCTTTCTGAAACCCTCATAGGAAGGAGATTCCATAACTTTTCCTGGTAGTTTCAGCATCCTGTTTTGATCATCAGGAATTTTTTCTAGAGCAGTGGTCCCCAACCAGTTGATTTCAATCGACTGGTCTCCACAATTGGGAGCGGCAGGACGTACGTGGATGGGCTGAGCCATGTTCCCTGCCGCCCGGGCTGGGCTGGATGAGTGGGGTCAGAGCCCAGGAAGCTTGTCCAGGAGGCGGGGGAAGGGCAGGGGGGTCGGAGCAGGTGGAGGGGGGGGCATAGTAGATCTTGGGGATGCCAAAAAGTGATCTTCACCATCAAAATTTTACAGACCACTGTTTTAGGGACTCGATCTAAATCTGGTTTTCTATAGTTTAAACTCCATAGCTTTTGTCTTGCCAGAGAAGAACATTGTTTTTCCATCTCTTTTATGGCAATCTTTCAAATATTTGAAAACCTGCTATCATGCTCCCCCCTTTAATATGCTTTTCTTGGAACTAAACACAC